AGCATAGATCTATACTCAGACCAAGCATAGATCTATACTCAGACCAAAAAGTTAATAAAAAAAAAAACCAGAAAAACAACCCCCCCCCCCCAAAAAAAAAAATAACCAAAACAAAACATACACACAAAAAAAAGGGCAGACATGTTGGACCACTCAGTCTTTTTCTTTTTCTGTTGTCACTTTTCTATGTTTCTGTTTCTATTCTCTTTTACTTTGCTTGCAATGATAATGGTAAACAGGACAAATAGAGAGGACGAATCTCCCTAATGGGGGGCACCGACAGCAATAAAAACTGGCATGGGGTTCTAATCCCTCTCCATTCTATCCAAAACTAAAAAAAGTTTTGCCTTTAGTTATACTTGAAATACAAATTCCACCTGTTTTGTTCCTATTTCCTACTCAAGGAGTTTTCTTTCTTACCTAAAACTCAATACGAAAAAAATTTACATTTGATCCAAATTCCTTTCTTGGCACCAATCACATGGGTGTACTACAGTGTATACCTGTGTAAGGGCTGTGTTTGTCCACACAGAGATACACATGTAGCACTACCCCCTTAGAAGTTGCTGAAGTTTGGGTCCCCCTATAGTCCTGTACAGCAAGGCAACACGCATTTTCCATATCGACTTGCATTCAGGAGACAGTCCTTGAGCCTGTTTTGAAGTTGTTTTAGGGGATTTAGAACTTGGACAGGGTTAGGGGTGTACAGGATGACCAATAGAACTGAGAAACCGAGGACAACTTCCTGGAACTATATACAAGTTTTTACAGCAATACAGTCTCTGTTGGAGAGCTAGCCAATGTCTAGGTTGCACCACCCCAGACCACATATAAATCCTCCTCTCATCCAGCTATCTGAGGGAAATCCCTGAGCAGGGGATCCAGTGGCTGCCACGTTAAAGACAGTCCCGGGTAGTTGCTAATCTGGTTACCCAACAGAGTGCTTCTTCCCCTATCTGGCTCTGGGGGTGCAGGGTTATTCACTTAGTCCTTCTCCTGTGTTGCTGGTGGGTCAGTGGCTGCTATCAGGCCTTCTAGCTGAGCTGCTTCTTCCCTGTTGCATAGGTGGTCCTCTCTCAGGGGGCCAGTTAAGTTCCAAGCTTTCCTCCTCCCAAGGTCCTCTTGCCTGAAGGTGAGCCCTTCTCCCATCTGGACACCCTCCCAGGCTCCTGCTCTCCAGCTTCACATCCTCCTCTTCCACTCGAATGCTCCTCCAACTCTCCTCCGGCTGAGCAGACTCAGTTACTCTTAAAGGCTGTGCTGGCTCCTTGCCAAGCCTCCTGTTAGGTATTGGCCAGGATCCTCTAACAGTACAGACCAGCCACTCCTCCCACTGCTTCTAGATCTTTCTCCGAAGTCCTAGAATAGGGAAATTCCAGAAAGCTGGTCTGCAGAGCCTCTCAGCTCTGACCCAAATTTGACCTTGCTAGCTATCACACCCGGGCTGCTGGTCAACCTCTAACTAACAGCTGGAATTAGAGCTCCCCCTAGCTAAATAGAAGGGTGCTATACACATGTTCCATACATCTCCATACAGACAGTCCCATTCATGGCAGTTGGGATGTAGTGGCTGCTTAGACACAGCCGCTGCTCCCAATTTGACAGCCAGGCGCACGGTCACGAACGCAGACAGTGTGCACCCGGCTCCTGATGCAGCGGCTACAGGGACACAGACAGTGGTTCCAATTTGATATCCATGGGGGCGTTGGTGCATGTCCCTGACCGAAGACAGTGTGCGTTTGGAGACACACATTCACACGGCTGTCAAATTGGGACCGGCAGATGTGTGAGAATGAACCCATAGGGCTTTATTGTGGTGGTATTTAAAGAGGTTCTTCACCCTAGACAGAAAACATTAAAGTCAGCAGCTGCAAATACTGTAGCTGCTGACTTTTAGTTGCAGGACATGTACCTGTCCAGGGATCCAGTGCTGTCCTCACCTGGGCTGGTTCTTCGTCATCTTTGTGTCCTCGGAGCTGGTGTGTTTATTGTCGGAAGCCGTCTGTGACTCCTTGCAGTATCACAGCCAGCACAAAAAATGTTAATGCACCAAATGTGGTGGGGGGGGGGGAGAACATAAAGCGGGACTTCCCCTTTAGGGTCCCCTATGTGATGATTTTATGGTGTCAGGTTCTCTTTAACGAGACTCTTCTCTTTAATGTCTAGCCTGTGCTCCACCAAATCTGACGCAGTGGTGATCGCTGACACTGACATGGGGAGTCAGAAGTGGAGTTTTACATGTTGCTTGCGGTCAGCAACAAGAAGGGGAGGAGAGGGGACTTGTGACCGCTCTACTTCCCTGTATCCGGCAGCCCCGCTATGCCGGTCTTGGACCTGCAGGTGGACAACTGAGCCCAGGATACATTGCAGAGGAACCGTTACTGGGAGTGTATGGAAGCAATCTGGCAGAAGTGCAGCCGCCTGAATGTTTCCATCTGACAGGTGGGAAGCAGACATACACACACTCCCGGTGGAGTGGAGTATTTAATATTCAAAGTAAACTTCCCCATCCATCCATGTCTCCATGCTTTAATTTGCTGAGAAATCACTTTGAAAAACACCCCCTAGCATTTCTGGCCATGGCATCTTGAGTAAGGGCAGATATATGTGGCATTTCCTTCAGGAATCCTTCTTCCTTAGCTCAGGCATGCATGCAGGAGGATTTACCTAGCTGAGAAAAACCCTCCTTCCTTCTGGAGAACCCTGAAATTTATGATGTCATTTGACTAGGCCTGAAAACCAAGGAGTAACTGAAGAAATTAATATGCTACTGCATTTTTTTTTTTGCCTTTAGGCGTGTCTGTTTTTTTTCCCGCATAGCAAAGATGGCAGTATATTGTCAAATTGCCCCAGTGTCAATAACGCCCAACTACAGCCAAAACATGTTATTGTGTTGTGAATAGGGTGGAATTGTTGGCGCCTCTGTAATGTTTTTATTGCCATCTTGTCTGAAACCCCTCAAAGAAGGTGCTACTGCTGTGACAAATGTTATTATGTAAAACAAAGTTAAAGTTAATTTTTATCTGCTATTGGTATACCATTACTATCTTTCCTTATTTTGGTAACTTATCACCTATAAAGTATACAATACTCAGCACATCCCAGGCTGATGATTAACACATTGTAAAAAGGACTCGGCCAGTTTTGAAGACTTACTTTTTCAGTGATGATATGTGAACAGGAAAGGTGTAGCCTGCTTAGGCTCAGCAATTTAAAATGTTAAAATTCTGCTTTTTGTTCATTTTTATTTTGGTGAGACATTAAAATTACCCAATTAGAGGGTCATCAAAATTAGAAAGGTATTATCCGGAGAAGAAAGCAGGTGTACACATCCCAGTCCATCCGTCCCTTTGCTAAAACTCCCGATGCCAATCCGATTAGACTCCTCCAGCTGGTTGAATAGCGAATTCCTCACTTACTGCTCTAGTTTCTCCTTCTGATGCCTAGTCACTGCAGAACATAATAGGGTCAGTGGGAGAAACCACAGTAGCCAGCAGAGACCACGCTCTTTTACATGCCTGAAGTGCTCCTCTTTTGAGCACCTGCCCCCACAGTGCAGGTATACAGACGCATTCTCATTGATCCTCGCCACTTCAGAGATGTATTTGTCCTTCCTTACCCTTGGGTCCTTATCATTATTGGTCTTAATTTTTAACATTTTTTTAAACAAATAGAGATTTCTTTTGGTGGTATTTAATCACTACTGGGGGGCATTATTTTTTTTGATAAACAAAGACTAAACATTTTGGGGAAAAAAAGTTGTTCTTAGTCTCTGTTATAAAGTTTTGTAAATAAGTGATTTTTCTCCTTCATTGATGGGCACTGATAGGCTGCACTGATGAGGAGTCACTGATGGGCACTGATAGGTTGCACTGATGGTCACTGATAGTCTACACTGATGGACACTGGTGAGGCTGCAATGATGGGCACTGTTGGTGCCCATGGAAGCCCTCCCTGAACTAGCCAACTGCGCTGTAGCCATCTTTTGGCTATAGCGAGGTCGGGAACTGGTTAAAGCTCCTGAATACACTGACCAGTGGAACCATGGGGTGGCCGCCGGACCTCCTGATCCGGTGGCGTGACGTCAAGGTGTGCAAGAGCTCCTCCTGGTGATGCCACCACCCCTACAGCAGATGTGTCATTACACGAAACACGTCTAGGAGGAGCCCTTGCACGCCTTGACGTCACACCACCAGATCAGGAGGTCCGGCTGCCAGCCCATGGTTCCACTGGTCAGTGTATTCAGGAGCTTATTATTACTCACAATCACCTTGTGCGTTTATGCTCATATTGTTACTTCATTAATTTTATCTAAATAAACCTTTACAATACTACACTATGAGCACTTATATCTTTACCACTTGGCACTGAGCCTCCACACCTCAGCCCAGTATTCCAGGTACCTGTCCAGGCTGGAGAAGTAAGAGTATTAGACCAGACCATTATCCCCGGCACCCACCATCTGAGCGACCACCAGAGGATACTTCCATCACCAGGCCATACCTTCACAGGACGTTCGCCTACATGAGATCTTTATACGCGCATTAAGATTGCGCTTCCGGTGAGTGGGCAATCTCTCCATATCCCCATGTCGGGATACTGGAATACACTCGTTTTTGATTGAAGTTAAACGTAATACCTTGGACTGTTCATCATTCAGTTTATAGGACTGTATTACGTAGGATTTATATCCGGCTGATTGTATATACTGTTTATTGATTTATTCATCTATTTTTATAGCACTGCACTCCCTATTTTATGTTGTATACACAAGAAAGGTTTTGTGGTTCCTTTTTAGTGCAATAGCTGCTTACACGGTGCGCTCGCTAGCTCACACACTTACAGTAAAGCATGTTTGCTTTGCCTTTTGTGGAACCTAAGGGGTTAATCCTCTGCAGTGTGTAAAAAGGATGTTTTATCCTGTCTTCTGTGATCCTCCCATTCTTCTACTGTCTCCAATACATTTGCTGAAAGAACAGAGCATTGGGGGCATGCTGCACATGCTCAGTTTGGTGTATATTACTAGAATGTTTTTTTTCTCTTGGGAGAGTACATGTGTCACGTTCCTTGGTTGAAGGCCGAGTTGACAAGAGGGCTTCCCTTGCAGCTCTGGTCCGAGCACCCCTGAATGTGGTGACAGAGGTGCAAGTCTCAAAGAAGCACGGGTGCCGATAACTTGATAGCAGGTGACTGCCACAGTCAGGGATGTAGTCAAGATGAGCCAGGGTCATACACAGTGAGACAGCAGTGTGGTCAGGAGGCAGGCCAGGGTAGATACCAGGTTAGCAAGCAGAGCGAGGTCCAGTAGCAAGCCAAGGTCAGCACCAGGAGATCACCGGAGAATAGTCAGAGGCAAGCCGAGGTCAGCACCAGGAGATCACCGGAGAATAGTCAGAGGCAAGCCGAGGTCAGCACCAGGAGATCACCGGAGATTAGTCAGAGGCAAGCCGAGGTCAGCACCAGGAGATCACCGGAGAATAGTCAGAGGCAAGCCGAGGTCACCACCAGGATATCAGGCAGAGAGTAGTCTAAGGCAAGCCAAGGTCAGAATTCAGAATCCAAAGAGCAAGGTCAGGAGCAAGCCGGGTCCAGCAATTGAAGATCAGTCAGTACAAACAGGAACACGAGTCACAGGAAGCTGAAGAACATCCGACGATTAGTACACAGCAGAGTCTCCTTTAAATATGCAGCTTGGCGCCAATGAGGGAAGACCTGCGCGGCAATGCACGATGGCACATAGAAATACACGTGCGTGTCAGTGCACGCTGAATATTAGCCTGGGCTTGTCTGTGTGCTTTACTCATTGTGAATACTCTGCAGTGTGCAGAGACCTACGCGCCAATGCGCGATGGCGCGTAGGAATACACGTGCGTGTCAGTGCATGCTGAATATTAGCCTGGGCTTCTCTGTGTGCTGATAAATGTGCACAAGCATTATATGCACGGGAATTAGCATTAGCTGAAGAAGAATTCGCATGAGCTGCACTAGTTTCCTGACAGCATGTGATCAGCACAGGACCAATCAGCACTGTCCAGACAGAGGGTCAGGGGTTATGCAGCCTCATAGAACAATCAGGGAAGAATGAAAACTCCTACAAGATTAACCAGTGCTCAGCTAAACATTGATAGAAGTCACAAGACTGCTCTAACTGCTGATGAGAAAAGGTATTTAGCAGTTTATATTTACTAAAATAATTGCACGTCCATGTTCTGTGTACTGTGGGAGACCAGGTATAGTGGATGCAGGGTCCTGGGTTTAGTAAGACTTTAATGGTTTTAGGTATACACGTAAACAAGCTTGACATAAATAATCTTTTTGGTATGTACTGTATTTGTACTAAGAGTCTTCTTTCCTCTCATACTTTTTTTCCCCCAATGTAACTATGTCATTTCTTTAGCCTCTATGGCAGTCTGCTAATTTCTGGAGTGATTGCACTTTCAAGAACTGAAGGCAGTGATTGTGAACTGTAATAAACAGTTTATTGGTAGGCTTATATGTACAACCTGGATATATATTTTTTCATTATTCTGTAAAGATTGTGGTCTTGACCGCCATAACCCATGATTTTGTCCCTTTATGATCTTTATTTGAATATAGCAAGTAGATATACGGTGCCTGTGTTACCTTGATAGTCTATCATGCCACATTCACATTTCATGCAATACAGTTGCAGTGCTGTGTATTTCAGATCCTTTTTGTAAAGTTTTTACTTGCATTTCATATGCTTATGTAAGCCACACCAAAGGTTCAATTTGGCTGCTATTTTTTTTAAACACATCATGCTAAAACATAGACTTTTTTAGGTAGGTGACCTGTGCAGGTAATTAGAAATGTTTGCAATAGTACTGGATCAATTTATGCATTTTTTAGGAACTAGCAACATGATTGAAGAGTGTGGGGCATTCCCAATGATGACACTCAGAGAAATGATAAACTACCTGGTCAAGAATTCAGTCTCAAACAGAGACAGCTATTTCCTTCATGGTGAAATGACATTTCTTCATAAGAAAAAAAAAACAATGCTAGGAGCTATAACAGCATCAACTCTTTTGGGGAGGCTGTCCACAAGGATTGTGTCTATGGGAATGTTTGATCATTCTTCCAGAAGTGCATTTGTGAGGTCAGGCACTGATGTCGGACGAGAAGGCCTGGCTCGCAGTCTGCTCTCTAATTCATCCCAATTGTGTTCTGTCGGGTTGAGGTCAGGACTCTGTGCAGGCCAGTCAAGTTCCTCCACCTCAAACTCGCTCATCCATGTCTATAAGGACCTTTCTTTGTGCATTGGTGCGCAGTCATGTTGGAACAGGAAGAAGCTATTCCCAAACTGTTCCCACAAAGTTGGGAGCATGAAATTGTCCAAAATGTCTTGGTATGCTGAAGCCTTAAGAGTTCCCTTCACTGGTACAAAGGGTCCAAGCCCAACCCCTGAATAACAACCCCACACCATAATCCCCCCTCCACCAAACTTTGCACTTGGCACAATGCAGTCAGGCAAGTACCGTTCTCCTTTGGCAACTGCCAAACACAGATATGTCCATCAGATTGCCAGACAGAGAAGTGTGATTCATCCCTCCATAGAACACATCTCCACTGCTCTATAGTCCAGTGGCAGCATGCTTTACACCACTGCATCTGACGCTTTGCATTGTACTTGGTAATGTATGTCTTGGATGCAGCTGCTCAACCATGGAAACCCATGAAGCTCTCTACGCACTGATGTTGTGCTAATCTGAAAGCCACACAAAGCTTGGAGGTCTTTAGCTTTTGGCTCTTCAGACAGTTGCCGACTTCTGCGCACTGTATGCTTCAGCATGCACTGACCCCACTCTGTCATTTTACGTGGCCTACCACTTTGTGGCTGAGTTGCTGTTGTTCTCAGTTGCTTCCACTTTGTTATAATACCACTGACAGTTGACCGTGGAATGTTTAGTAGCAAGGAAATTTCACGGATGGACTTATTGCACAGGTGACAACCTATCACGGTACTACGCTTGAATTCACTGAGCTCCCGAGAGCGACCCATTCTTTCACAAATGTTTGTAGAAGCAGTCTGCATGCCTAGGTGCTTGATTTTATACACCTGTGGCCATGGAGGTGATTGGAACACCTGAATCCAATGATTAGGAGGGCTGGCCCAATACTTTTGGCAAAATAGTGTATGTTGTCTCCTGCTGCTGACGTCACCTTTCAAAATGCTAGTTGTCTGTCTGTCATACTGATCATGTGGCTTTAACACTTTCTATGTGTCTGACCCAGAACACGCATGCAGATGGGGGTGGTCTGACTTCTGCTAGACTGTCTAATGACACTGGCTGCATACTTGTTACAGGTGTGACTGATTAAAGCCTAATGCAAGCGGTGGGCCAAGAGGTAGGCAGAGGTGGCAACTGCCTTGGGCACTTTAGCAGGGAAGGATGCAAAAAGAGCAGGACCTGTACCTTATGCTGCTGAAGTCATTCACAGCGCATGTGGGCGCATTTTGGCCTTTTTGCCTTTGGTGCTAAAAGACCTTGTCTCAGCACTGCCTAAAATAGCAAGATAACCACAATTTTCCTCTACGGCTTGTAAATCTTTTATCTTACTTCTGATGTTGTCTTCTCATTGTCCTACAACAGAGAAGTGTTTTAACAAGAGCAATGTTATACAAAAATATACATTTTATACAATCTTCTACTTAGAAACCTGTATAATACCCATCTAAGCAATCATTGTTGGTCCTATCTGGCAATCACGAGGAAATGCAAATAATTTTTATAATTAGTGTCTTATACTAGGTGACAAATTGCTAGAATAACATGGCCATTTCAGATCATTTGGCTGAAGACTGAGAGATTAATAATTAAGCCCTTTCACTGGCTAAGTTTTTAAGACGGCTTCTCAGTGACCCAGAATTCTTTTTTTCTCATGGATTTTCATTCTACAAGGATGCTGGCAAAAACTCTAATTCTTATTTTCTCTCTGTTCAGTTTCGGAAATTCTAATCTGTGCAAACCAGGTAAAACCAAATAATTAAAATTTACTGAAATGTACAACCCTGATCATATATTGGTACATGAAAGGTGGAGAAGTATCTTAGCATTCTCTGTTTTATTGTTATACAAATTTGGAGGGACATGTTTTGTCTTTGTAATGCCTGCTTTCATTTTTCGAACCAGATCTGGAACAATATGTGCCGTAATCTGATTGACTTGTCTCGGTTTTTATTCATTAGACTATTTATTAATAATATATTAAAGTATTAACGTTTATATTGTATTTGTAGAGTTATAAATAATATAAAAGGGGAGTGAACTCGTCATACGATCTGAATTATTTGAACTCAGTCATGCAATAAAGGGACTGTGTATTTTGCAATAAGTGACCACAGTTGGTAGGCTATGGCTATTGGAACACTGGACTAACAGCTTGAGACTTGCCAATGCCAATATGGCAATTCTTATTGACCTCTAGCAGTACAAACCTATAGAGAGTCTGTCTGTCATATACAATCCAGTAGATGATCATATCAGTTTGATAGAAGACAGGTCTATTCTTGGTGCAATGTTCTGTAGTTGTGGTTTATATGAATGGTGTATATGAATTCATAAGTTATATAAAATATGCATAAAAGCCAGCACTAAATTATATTATCCCAGGTGGATAATTGTTCATTTGTTATTTATAATTTGTGAAACTGTAAGCCTCCCATTATTAGCTTTTCAGTATAAACAAGAATATTAAAAAAACAACTAAGTCACAAATTATAAAAATAAATAACATGGTACAAACAAGATCAAGAAAAGCTGTTTGACTGATCACAGAAATACAAAGCACACTAATGGAAAGAAATAACTGAATGGATCAATAGTGCTATTTGTACCATTGTTTTAAATAATCCATTAAATCACTTCTACTTTGGCTGAGTTCCAGATTCAATGACGAAGAACATGTGAAGAAGGCATACAAATATAATTATTATACATAATTTGTTTTTAAATACAGCTAGTAAATGCGCGACCCACTCATGACCAAGTCATTTCGCACATTACGTATATGTTGTAACATTAGGAAAATTGTTAGTTCATGTTTTTCCTGTGTTTCATCTAGTGTTTATTTGTAAAGTGATTGTAGCCATATTAGTGCACTTGCAACAAGTATTGATACTTTTTTACAAGTGAATTTTTTTTTCCGGGCAGGTTATCTAAGGTCTACTCCTCTTTCTTCTAGGTTCAAGCATTACATCATTAAGCAGTAAGCTTGTACTGCTTGGACCTAGAAGACCGCAAATGCTTTTCCTGAAAATTGAACTGTTAATTCAAATAAAAAAAAGTATTAGAGACAGTACTCTATTGTACTCTATCAACTACAAGAACATATTGGTAAGTTAACTGACCCCTGACCAAATTGACCCTAAAGTGTATGTCTGACACTAAGTTGTATGCCCCATGGAGACATGATAGGTATGGTTCTAAGAAAATGTATAAGTAATATAAGCATAATGTGGTGGGAAATAATAATGAGTGTTTTATTAATCTTCAGATGCACCAGGTGCCTTTAAAGTTCGACTTAGTATCAAGAAGGCTCTGGGCGACAATGCAGTAAGTACATATTTCTCCTGTGATAAAATAGCAAAACATTGTTCCTTTGCATTGATTGAGTATTATGAAATATTGGAGTGCATTTCAGTTCTATATATTTGTTTTTTGCACTGCGTGATTATAATTTAAAGAGTTGTTGTACAAGATGTTATTCTCCAGCCAAGCCTATTTTTTTATTTTAGTACACTTGGAATCATAAATACTTCAAGTTTTTATTACTGTCCATAACTTTTGTTGAAGATGTTTCACCTAAGTTGATGTTCGTTCCTGTGACAGCTGAAGAGGGGAACAGTTTTCACTGGAATAGAAAGACACAGACAGGAAAAAGAACCTGACAGATGTACTAATTCTTTTCCAAGAAAAAAAAAGTGATTTATTGCGGTCGGTGTCTTTCTTAGAGTTAGAACTCCTTTATACACATGCAGCAAGAGTGCAGCAGAGTGCTAAACTTGTGTTAAAAATATCCAACACCGTTAAAATGAAAAGCTGTGACCTTCCTGGTACCCATCGTGTGGCCTTAGGGCCATATGTGGCCTGTATGTTCTCTCTGTGCAACCCACAGTATCTTTGGCAGGGTCTGCCACCTTGGGCACTAATGCAGAATGGTAGCAGGATTTTGGGTGCTGGAAGGCTCTCTGGGTTCCCACACCTTGTATTATTTTGAAGCCATTACTGT